GCCGACGCCGCGACGAGGCACATCGCCGAGGAGAAGCTCGACGGAGGCGCGGGGAACGGAGCGGTGGGGGTTGGGTATGATGGGAGGGGGAGTTACGTGGCGGTTTGGAAGGGGAGGGGATTGGAGGTGGATGCTTGTTTGGTGGACCCGAGGGATCGGGAGGTGGGAGTGAGGGTGGTGATGGTGGTGGCGGCCGGAGGGTTGGAGGGGATTCGGGCTTGAGAGAGATGGAGGTGGATTTGAGGGAGGAACCAAATAAATTGGGGGAATGGGAAAATTTGGGGGGAATTTTAAATTTTATTTTTAAAAGGGGGCAAACATCCAAGACGGAAATTTATGTCTAGGACGCTTAGCTTATTTTTAAAATAAAAATAAAAATATAAGAACTGTCTAGGATGATATCTTATACAAAAATTTCTGTCTAGAATGTTTTATCTTATACGGAATATTCTAGATGAAAATTTCTCGTCTAGTTTAATAGCAAACTAGGCGGAAAAAAATTCGTCTAGTTTAATAGCAAACTAGACGGAAAAAATTCCGTCTAGAATATTCCGTCTAGGATATGAGCTTTTTTACTAGTGTATATATTACTTATAAAGTGTCAAAACTTTTGATTTTCCTAAAATATCCTTCAAAATTCACTCAAATCACCATATTGCACTCAAATAAATATGCAACCCAATTTAATTAATTAAATCATCAAATGTAATAATTACACAAAACCATACCACCCTTCAAATTAATTATGTAACATCTTGTAAACTTTACTATGTGCACTAAAATATAGAGGGTAATGTATTAAACCAAATTGCTTGCTCTGAATTTCAAAGATTGAGTTATGGTTTTCTCTCTCAATTAAAACCAGCTAATTAAATTATGGAGAGTTAATTAATTTTAAAGATGGAGACGTGGCATTTACGCTTTCTCAATTAAAATCTATTAAAATGTAGAGCGCTTGAAATTCCAAAGGTAGAGTTACCTACCGAAAAAGAGACCTTTTTGCTGGTAAAAAACCAAAAATTATTTTAACACTACAAAATTACGGTAAAAGTGGTGATTTTCAAAAGACATCAAGAATAATTTCATATCAATAGCATGGCAGTGAATGATGCACCGTTAGCGGACCTTGACTCTATTCCAATTAAATAAGTCTGCAATCATTATAAGAATGAAAATTAACGAAGTCTCAGATACTTGTGAAGATGAATTATACGAAGAGATTGAAGTTCACTGTGACTTGTGAGTACCAGGTTCTCCTCAGGCTCATCGCTCATTATGCCAGTGAATTCAATCTCCTTCTCCATATAATTAGATGAACCATGGCTAGATTTCTTTCAAAAAAAACCAGGTTCACAGATTATTGCACCAACCTCCACCCTAGGAGAAGATTGTTGCATGGGTTTGAAAATTAAGTTTTCTTCTACTTTTTGATGTAACGTTTATCTTCAAATATGTTGTTGAGGACTACTGACCTCTAAATTAATGAGCCAATTGTTTGCTCCTGATCCAAACCCGCGATGAAGGTGATAACCAGGTAGACTTCCATCAGCGCATACTGCGAAAGTAGGAACATTATAGGACAATAACAACATAAACTCGAGCTAAATTAAGATGAAAGTAAAATAAGAAGTGATAAGACACTGAAAGATCGATCGTGAGAGGGTACCTGTATGTACCAAAATCTTAAAACTTAATGGTGAGAAAGGGGATGATTCCTAGGATCTAAGACCCGCGCTTCATTTCCAAATTAATGGGGGATGGCATTGAAATAACTACAGAACGAATTTTCTGGTGATTAAATCAAAATATAAAATTCTAATGAACAGGAATGACTCCTTCAAAATTATAATTTGATCAGTTCCTTATCTCGAATTGCTTGTGACTGGTTCTTAATAGAAAAATAAAAGTGAAGTTGAAAGGTTAAAAGTTATATTTGGAAGAGTAAATGACAGGGACGCAGGGTTATGTGAAATTAACCTTAAATGAGAGTTTAATGTGCATAGAAAAAATTAATTAAAGAGAACCTTGAAGGTTGGAAGTTATATTTGAAAGAGCAAATTATTTACTAATACTAATAATTTAATAAACAGAGATTACAACAAAAGGGCAAAATAGGGGAAAACAAGAACAGATTTGAGTGGGTTGAGGAAGCAGATGGTATGAAGGGCAACACGTTGTTCATAGGTCACAAGTCCTGCTTGTCCTTTCCTAATGGGGGAATATATATCCTGAACTAAGACCGGACTGCATCTACTACTTGGACCAAAATTTGTGCCGTGCGCATAATTTGAGAATGTTTGACATGGAAAGCAAGAAGGATGCGCTCATAAAAACACTTGATCCTGTTACCCCTCTACGTCCCCATGAATGGATCCCTCTCACTCCCTTTTGATGCGGATGTTTTAAGTTAGCGATTTGCTTGGATTTTTACTGTTTTTGGTGTCTGGGACACCTTAGTTTTTTTTTAAAAAAAGAGATTTGACTTGAAAAACAAGGAAAAATTCCCAACTTTTTTTTTTTGTTTCGTTTTCTTTTCCATCATTTTCCGCTCCGCTTCTTTTTTGTCTTTGTTGTTTGCGCTTTATATTTTTCTTCTTTATAACGTAAGCAGTAAACCGTCCCCCTTTATATTTTTGCCTATTTTAGTAGAACATCATCAAATACAGAAACCAGAAATCAACAGAACAAATAAAAGTCTCATAAGATTCACTAATCTCTCCTATTATATTTGAACCTTATAAAAACGTGATAGCAGAAATGTAATACTATTGTATTAAGTATTGGCATATATGGTTTTGAAAGCTAAAAAGTTTGGTGAGAAATGGATAAATTGGGTGAAAATGTGCTTAAAAGGAGGCATGTCAACTATAAATATCAATGGTAAACCTGAGAGTTGGATTATGTCTAAACGTGGTGTTCGTCAAGGAGACCCTTTATCTCCACTTCTCTTTGTGTTGGCGGCTGATTCTTTTACTAGAATGCTATCTTTAGCAATTGATTCTCACCTTATTGAGGGTTTAGGCCCTGTTAACATGAATCATAAAGTGTTCTGCTTGCAATATGCAGATGATACTTTGATTTTTTGTAAAAATAAAAGAGAACAATTAACAGTTTTGAAACTGATATTGTATTGCTTTGAATTGGCATCTGGTTTGAAAATAAATTTTAATAAGAGTGTTCTTATTACTCTTGAGGACAATGAATCTTTACAACAGAATTTGGCTACTATGTTGAATTGTAAAAGTGACAGTTTTCCTATCACTTATCTTGGAGTACCGTTAAGGCCAGACAAATTAAAAAAAGGATGATTGGCTTCCTTTGGTTGAAAAAATAGAGAGGAGATTAGTATTGTGGAAAGGTAAATCATTATCAAGAGGTGATAGACTAGTTTTAGTTAACTCAGTCATGTCCTCTATATCAATTTTTTTGTTATCTTTCTTTCTTTTTCCTTCATGGGTCATTGATAAAATTGATAAGTTGAGAAGAAGATTCTTGTGGATTGGGTCCTTGGATCATAAAGGATACACTAATTTGGTAAAATGGGAGGAGGTCTGTAGACCTAAATATTGTGGTGGCTTGGGAATCATAAATTTGAGAATTTTGAATAGAGCTTTGTTAGGAAAATGGCTTTGGAAATGGTTTGATGGAAGTCCAGGTCTTTGGAAACAAATTAGCTTTCATAAATATTTTGAAAGAAAAAGTTGGACATATTTTTTATACTCTAGGAGAGTTCTTTTATCACATTTTGGAGGAATCTCTGTGTTAATATTAAAAGTTTTTTATGTAGCTCTCAAGTGGAGGTTGGAAAAGGAGATTACACTTTATTTTGGCTTGACAAGTGTGTAGGATCATTTACTCTTGTAGCTCTTTTTCCATCTTTATTTATTATTACATCCTTTCCTTTTGCTACTGTTAGTAGTATGAGGAAAAAAGAGAATAATATGTGAAGATGGGTTGTCAAGTTTAAGAGACAGTTAACTGGGTTTTTTGTTTCTCAGTTCTTTTTTTTGATGAATTTGCTTAATTCCATTTCTTTAGAGCAAAATGAGGATAAAAGAAAATGGTTGTGGGAGGCAAAAGAGAGTTCCACAGTAAAATCTTTCTATCAATTTTTAATTGATGGAGGTTTGAGGTATGATTGTACAAATCTATGGAAGCTTCCTATTTCTTTAAAAGTGAAGTTCCTTGTCTGGTTGGCTCTAAAACAGAGTTTGAATACAAAAGATATACTGGAAAAAAAAGGAATTCAATTGGAAAAAGTTTGTTGTTTATGCTCTAAATTGGAGGAGAATCATACACATTTATTCATCAAGTGTGAGTTTGTTTACTCAATATGGAGATCAATTCAATTCAAACTAGAATCTGAGGATAATTTTAATTTGGGATCCTTAAAAGAAGTATGGCTTAACTGAGAAGTTGGTGATGATGAGAATTGCAAAATGAAAAGAGATGTTTTTATTTGTTCTCTAGTTTGGTGTGTATGGCAGGAGCGTAATGACAGACTTTTTTCTAATAAAAGGAAGAAGTCTCTTGAGCTATTAAACAAAATCATGACTTTCTCAACCTTTTGGCTAGGTTCTAAGATTGCTCTGCTCGGGCTACCAGACTACAGGAAAAAAGAAGGAAGATGAATGCTGATAGTTTGCAAGTGGTTGGAGCTGCTGGAAGAGAAAACAGAGATTTGGTGCATGCGGTGATCCAGCTTGAATGATTTGCAATCAGCTCAGTCTTGATATTGTCTTATACCTAATCTTTAAAACTTTCTTAAAGTTGGATTTGGTTTACTTGTGGTTTTTGTTAGCAGCTATTAGGTCCAAATCCTTGTGGAGGGATTTATGGATGGGTACAGTGTGGTGTTTCTTCATGCTTTGTAGTTTTTTGTAGTGGACTTCAGTACACACTTTTGGTTGTGGTGTGTATTTTCATGTAACAACCACTTTCGTTAATATTTAGCTGGCTGGATTACCTTTGTGGTAATCCATCCTTTTTCTCAAAAAAAAAAAAAAAGTATTGGCATATATACACGATGATAGGCAATCCTGTTACCTGATATCTGTGTTTCTTTTAAGCATGAGAATGATATTTAGTAGCCAGTGGTTCTGCATTTATATTTGCCAGTGGTACAAGTAAATTTGTTGGCTTGGCTTGAAATTTACTGAGTCAGGTTTCTTGGACAGTTGTATTTATTCATATTTGCGCACTTACTTGGCATACGAAGGAAGTAAAGAAAAACTCTTTCGCGTAACCAAATCTTATGCCCTGTTATACAAAAAATATTTTGCTGGATATTAGTGTCTCTTTGACGTCAAATTATGTGGATGTATGTTGGATTGTTTTACATTGCTAGTTCACAGCTGAAGCACCAATTTCCAGATTTCCTGTTATATTAAAAACTATAATTGAACTTACTGCTGGATGTACATTGCTAGATGACGGCATTCCAATGGCTTAAATTCTGTGGTAAAATGGTTCTCTATAAGATCTCTAGTTTACTTAGTTATCTCATAGAAAGAAGAATTAATGTGTTTTATGTTGTATTTTCCAATATTAGCTTCCCAAAATTATCCCAAGTTCTACAATAAACTCTCAAATGTTATTAGTTCGAAATTACACACCATTGAGAGTCACATTTCGAAAAGTTTGGGATAGAGGGTTATCAAATAACTGTTCGTATAATTTAAAATAACTAGTTTAAGGTTTTCAGAGTACTAAGAATTTAGAGTTCTAATACAAAACTAGAGCCAATTATCTTATATTGATGAATAGCCTTTTGCGTTACAAGTTTCAGTTATATCAGAGAATTGTGAAGAGAGTAGGAACTCTTATGTTCAAGCTGAACCTTGAAATGTCCTCTACTCAGTGTTTCTAGGCCTCAGCTAATTTCTACTATAAAGTGCTACAATTGCGTACGAGGTTGAAGAACCGATAGATGAATGAATCGGTTAAAATTTTTTGCATGTATCTGTAGAATGACTGAAGAATTTGAGGTGATAGTGTGGTGAGGAGTTATTTTTGAATATTTACTGGTAGGTTGCATTTAGATCTGTTGGTTTAGTTTTAATATTATACTTTAGTCAGCTTTGAGCTGCAGAGTTCTCAGATAACTGTGTTTATTTATACTAGCTAGCACCTTTATCTGGCACTGAAGAGACTGAGGGGAAAGTCTTCAGAATAACGACATATCCAATGCCTGTTATACAACAAACAATTTAAATTTTTTGCAGGATGTTAGTGTCTCTTGACATCAACTTATGCGGATGATACAATCATACATATATACTTACAACATACATGCATACACACGTTCATACCTACATAGATGCATGCACGCACAAACACAATACTAATTTACTAAGAAAAAAACCGGGCAATATTTTGAGCATCAAATTTCAAAAGTTACTGAATTCTAACCTCACTGCTGGATATAGTGTTAGTCAACAGCCTGATAACTTAAATTCTGCGGGTAAAATGGTTCTTGATAAGTTCCCATTTTATTTAATTTCACAAAAAAGAGATACGATGATTTATGTTTAATTTTTCAATATAAAACCCCAAAACCATCCTCAATTTGTCGCTATATCCTGAAATATTAATAGTTCAGATATACATATTATTTTTTTGTTCTAAAATAATAAATTTAGGATTTCCAAAAATATTAAGAATCTAGAGTTCTAAGATCAAATTAGAGATAACCTGAGGATCTTCTATTGATCAATATATTGTGTTAAATGTTTCTATTGTATCAGAGATATTTGTGGAGAGGAGAGGATAACTCCTCCATTCAAAAGGTGAACCAGGAAATAAGTCATCTGATTAGAGTTTCTAGGCCGAAATTAATTTCTACATTTCTACTTTGAATTTTAAGCACTCGGACGCAAAGTTAACTAGTTATCTTATTACTGATAAAAAAATATTGTATCGCTCAAGCAGACTATAACTGTACATTAAAATGGTAATATCTTCTATTCATCAAGCGGAACCATGGAAATTAGTCTTCTATTCAGTGTTCACATGACTCAATTAATTTCAAACATTTAATTTTACTCACTCGGACACCAAAAGTTATCTGGTAATCTTATAACCAAGGAAAATCTTATTATTAAAAGATTAACTTTGACACCCCGCAGTTTGCTCTTGCCAAAAAAGTACCGTGTAAGTTGAACAAAATTTTAAATCTGGTCCCCTCAAACTTGCACCTTTGAGGCCTGACAAAAACAAAATTTTAAATCTGGTCCCCTCAAACTTGCACCTTTGAGGCCTGACAAAAACAAACTCCCGAGCAAGAGTTAACTATGGTGTGAACTAACTACCGCTGGTGATCCAGTTGTTAGGAGGTTCAATACGGTTCGCACCATCTTAGGTTCGATTTGGAGTTGGGTTATAAAAAAAGAAAAAAAAAAGAAAAAAAAAGTTATGCTTTGGGGTATTTGAGTGCAAATAATCCTTTTTCTTTTGCTTGATTCATTGTTTTCAGCGTCTCTTGCTTGATTCATTGTTTTCTCATGGGAAACACATGATTTCAGCGTCTCTTGCTTGATTCATTGTTTTCTCATGGGTACTTTCTACTTGCAGGAAGAAGACAGTAGACGCACAGAGGAATCCGAGGAGAAGCAGAAGGAAGGTAGATCGCAATCACAGCAGCAATGGTTTTTTTTTTTTTTTTCCTACTGGGTTTTATTCTCTATCGAGGACATCTTCATCACCAGAAGAGGGTTTTTCTTTTTAAATCTAAAACTTCTTTCTCATTTTCTTTTGCCTAGCCTTGGTTTCAGTTCCATTTGATTAAACTTTGATGGAGACCCTTTGTTGGAGTTATCATGGGTTTAGGGTTTTGTCCTGCCCAAATAGTTATTTCCCTTCCAATTCAAGCAAAAACACCTCTTCTCCCAATATCAAATTCAACCTCAGGAGATCTCATTCAAGAACACACTCACCTTCTCCAGGTTCTATTCAAGATCACTCCTTTCAATCTGTAAACAAACACAGTGATCACCTGTGGAGCGCTTTAGAACTAGCCGAAGCCGTGGGCGGGGAGGTTATTCAATGGGGTCCACCAGGGACAGTCTCAACAGACACCCAGAAATTGGTGCCCGGCCAGTGGTTCTTTGCCCTCATCGGACCGAACTTTGATGGCCACAAATTTATCCACAAGTCATTGGCGCTTGACAAGGGATGCATCGGTGTCGTAGGAAACAGAATGTGCGACGATTGGCCTGCCGGCTTCATCAAGGTAGAAGGTGACACCATGGTTGCCCTCGAGAAGTTGGCTCGGTATGCTAGGGATCGTTTTCGTGGATTAGTGATCGGTTTGACTGGAAGTGTGGGGAAAACGACTACAAGAACCATGATAGCCCACGCCCTCGAGAGCCTTGGAAATGTCTATCAGACTCCGGGTAACTTAAATTATATTGTTGGGGTTGCGTTAACGGTGAGTGCAATTTCTTTGGATGTTGCGGCTGCGGTCGTGGAGCTGGGGATGAGCGGTCAGAGAGGAGAGATTTTGAAGATGGCTCGAATGTGTCGTCCTCGCGTGAGAGTTGTGTTGAATGTGGGTCATTGTCATATGGAGCATTTCAGGACTTTGGACGATGTTGCGAGAGCCAAAGGAGAGCTGTTAACGGAGGCTGAGCCTGGGGATATTTGCGTGTTGAACGCTGATGATCCCTTTGTTATGAACATGCCTGTTGCAGATGGAGTCAAGAAGGTGCTTTTTGGCCGGAGAATAGGATGTGATGTGCGTCTAGTTTTAGCTGAATGCGTAGATGGAGGTCGTGCAGTTCGTGTAGTCCTAGAGAGTAAGAGTGAGATGGTCGAGTTTAAATTGCATGGTCCTGGTTTGCATTTAGCTGTGAATGCTTGTGCTGCTGCTGCGGTTGCTGCTTCATTAGGAGTACCACTTCCTCAGATTGGAAAATCATTATCAAAGTTCAGACCTGTTCATATGAGATCACAGATGGAAGTCTCCCAGCATGGCATCACAATCATCAACGATACATACAATGCTAGCCTCCCCAGCATGATTGCAGCGATCAATTCACTTTCATCGATTGATTGTTGCGGACGAAAAATTGTGATACTTGGAGACATGTTAGAACTTGGTGAAGAAGAAGGAAGGACGCATGAACTGGTTCTTAAACTCTGTTGTGATGCTTGTCTCAGTATAATCATCCTTGTTGGGGATAGATTTCTTTCAGGTGCTACAAGTCTAAATCTTGTGGGAAGGTCGAATATAATCTGTGTGCCTGACTCAGCATTCCTTGTGCCGAAAGTTTCAGAATTTGTGGCACCTGGAGATGTTGTTCTGGTAAAAGGAAGTCGTGGGATGAAAATGGAAAAGGTTGTCGATGCAATTATGGTGATAGAAGACTGAAGGACTTGCCATCTATGTGAACCTCTCCATCTACGATATGCTTTGTAAGGGTAATTTGAACTCACCTCTGTATCTCATGGTAAAAGCCTTCTGAGAACCTCTTTTAACTCTGAGTGTCCTACGCATTTTATTACTGCTTATGGAAAAATGCATATTCTTCTCTAGTTCCTAGGCTTTATACCTGTGACCACCGATCATTCTTCTTACATTTCTCTTATAAATTATTACATGTCGTCTACAGAGAGTTTATTGGCTCTCTTTTTCTTAGAATTTGAACACCCCCCACATCCCCTCCC